CACTGTTTAAAACAAAATATATTATTTCAATAAACTGAGTTTAAATTCTCATATATCAAAATTAATATTTGAACGTAATGACTTTAAGTTGGCCAGAAACTTAATATAAATTCATACGTAATAGTTGAAACAAACTATAAGAATAACATTCGAGAATGATATACGTTACAAAATGAACATAAACTTACAATAAAATGTATATGTATTACTGATCATGAAACATATAATTACAATTTTGTGTGATAAAATAATGATGGTTATTAGTTTTACTAATACCCGATTACAACCAATAAAAAAATAATGCATCAAATATAAATATCTAGAATATTAATACTAAAAATACCATAATTAATAAAGTGATTTGTTTTCTAAATTAATTTTCTCTGTTGCTTTTAATAATCAACTTCTGATTTGCAAAAAATAATTATTCAATTTTCTATCCTTCATGAAAATTAAATATTTTACTAAATATTAAATTTGATTAGAGTCACTCTTCACGAATTAAAAAAATATTACTTTTGTTAAAAACTTGTTCTAAGATAGAGGATCAGAACATTTTATTTTTATTAAATATAATTAGTATATTTTATAATAAATTAAATTTGCTTATATTAGTATTTATTTTGTACATGCTTAAATTACTACTAAATATTCATTATGTTCTTGGAATTGATAATACTAGTTCTGTGATTTTTATTGATATATGCAAAAATAAAGTCGAGCAAAAATTAAAAATCATATTTATTTCAAAAACGAAATTCAATTCACATTTTACTCCGAAACGATTCAATGTTAGGTTATGATGAAATCTAGGGTATGTGTTTGAGATTGCGAGAACATTTTTAAGTCGTTCAAACATCTTGCGTATCTGAAAGGATTAACTAATCCGTCGACTTCTGAATATACCTACTAATAAAACATCTGGCATTGATATCATAAAACTTTTTCGAAAAACAAGTCATAAAACATCTGGAAAACTCAGATATTAGAGTTTTCCCGAGACGGTCGTATCACCCAACATTAAGACCTTTTCGGCACATATTGCTCCTACCCCTTTTATTCAAGTCTGCCTTGCGGCCGCCTGAGCCACCGATAGCAATGGAATCAGGAACTCTTAGCTCGAGAGCAACGAAAAGAATGAATTTCTTGACTGAAGAAGACGTCACTAGAGGAGCTACTCTCGCCCATGAATCGGTAAGCTTTCCGATTGGATACAAGAAAAGGGAAGAGGTCCTAAGTGGACACCAGGGTCAGTAAACTATTTAAGAGTGTTCGATTTTAAAGGTTTAGTTTATGGCTCGAACTACCAATTCAATAGTTCAGTGGATTAGTCTCGCGGCAGGATAACTTCAAAGGAAACAATAACAGACAAGGCTGAAAAATATCGTGTACTTAGTAAAACAATGTTTATTAATCTAAATAATTATAACAATATTGCACTTTGATGTAGACAGAAATAATTCTATTGAAGTAGTGAGGGTGTATTCTTGTATTTTTGAATTATTGTAGATGCTATGGATGTGACTAAGTATCTTGAAGTTGAAGTAATGCTGATGTTGTAAATATCAGCTGGAATAGTCAGTCAATCATGCTTTTGAGGTAGCATGAGAAGATGGTAGTTGAATCAAGTATGTTTGAAGTATGAATAACTATACTTGATATGGCATAAGATGTTTAATGGAATTTATTAAGTAATCAATTGTGTCTTTAATTATGTAAGGGGACAGTAGAAGAATCTAGTCACAGGTAAAAGCAATTAATGGTAAGATTTCTAATTCGTGAAGGATTTAATAATCTGTATTTATAGTCTATTAGTCGATCTGTGTTGTCCTTCTTTGACAATGTGTGTGTGAACCACAGTGACTCTTGCGTCAGCTGTTCAGGGCCTGTACGATGTCGAGGGTTAGTTCGAGAGAGCGTAAGTGTGCCCTGTTTTGCTAGCGGGTCTGTACGATGTCGAGGATTAATTCGAGAGAGCGTAAGTGTGCCCAGTTTGTGCTAACGGGCCTGTACGACGTCGAGTGGTTAGTTCGAGAGAGCGTAGGTGTGCCCTGGTTCTGCTAGCAGGCCTGTACGATGTCGAGGGATCAGTTCGAGAGAGCGTAAGTGTGCCCGATCGACTATAGCGCGAGATGTGACTTGTTTATTTATTAATATAAAGGTGTACCTGGTGAACTGCAGGCTAGGTGTATTAGATGCTGTGTAGTTGATGCCCCCTTTGATTACTGTTCCATTGGCTTCACTGTAATCACTATCTAAAACTGTCGATTTCCTTTTCTTATGCACGCGCGTAATTTTA